TTCACAGTTCGCTACTGTAACATGCCCTGCAGTGTGGGTCATTTAAAAACTTTTACAGTAACTTATTGCATTTTAGGAATTTGCTGTATTTTACTGTAATCCAAGTAATCAAGTACTGCTATTGTAGTTGAAGACAAAAATTCAGTCATTTGGAATTTAATACAATCAATATACCTAAAATAAAGGTTTTGTTTTGCTAGTGTAAAATGCAAATAAATTACAGTAAAAGTACTGTAAAAATGGCATAATCCAAAATTAAAATGTGATAAAAGGGCATTTTACCATAGAAAGAAGTTGCGGTTTTATTGTAAAATTAAATTGTAGTAGGGTCCTGCTACTTTAAAAAACATTTATTATTTGTAAGTTATTGTAAAGGGGCAGTTGCGGTACACTGCTGGCAACAGTGCTGCCAGTAAGTTACCGCAAGAATACAATAAAATGTCTAACAGTGTAAGACGTATTACTATGAGCTATTGGATATACCTTTATCATTTACATGCACACACAACCTCTCTCTTGCAAGCTCTCCCTCTCTGTCTGGTTGTGACCGATTTAAAGTGGAGAATATTAGCTCTAATATGTCATAACTCACTAAAATTCAGTCAAATATTCTGCTGTAAAGAGCAAAACTAGTTTTAACTTATCTAGAAGTTGGTAAATGACCACTGAATACACAGGGTAATAAATGGCTTGCCATGCGTTAAAGAATTTTAAAAAACATGTAGCTTGGTGTATGGTATGGAATATGGAAAATGCATTTTTTTACAGTATTTTTTATTCATCGCTAACATTAGTTAATAATAGTAGATTCGTTCTTTGTTAACAAGCACAACTTTGTAATTAAATAATACTTCATTACAGTAGTATGGATTTACAAATTCAGTACTAGTATTGTTTTTTCTTAGTTCATGTTACTTTTTACATTAACTATCATGGGACTTTATTGTCTCACTATTAGGTAGTTATTTTTTGTATGATTATTATTAACATTTCGTCTGTTAATTAGTACGATAAATAAGCAATATCACATAAGTAGCAGTGTGATATGGCTGCATATCGACACTGGTGGGAAGCGTTCATTGGCATGAGGCCACAGGCCAAGTGCTTTAGTGTCCCACCAGTGATGTGTGTGTGTAAGAAAATCAAACACAGAGGTCTAAAAGTCCTTTTGTATGGAACTACCTTTTATCGCGATTCATTCATGTCTGCAGCTGGCCAAGAGAACAGCAGATACAGTTGCAAATTCACCAACATCACTTTAGAGCTAGTATTTGAATAATTTTCTAAAGTAATATCCAAAGTGATAACAAAACAGGTGATTTCTCTGACATTTTAAGATTATAGGGCTGGCGGAATGAAATGCCTTCTGCCTAGAGAGATTTCCCAATATTTCTCTGTTACAATTGGGAGATCACAATAATTAACCCTGAAAAATCCAAAGCATCGCAATCATTACCAGATAACTGTTGTGTTTCTAATAAGGAAAATCTAACACATGCGGGCATTTCTTCTTTCTTTCAACTGAACTACTCTGCAGTAACGAAAATAGGAGACTCATTAGAAACAGATGGCCAACCAAAAAGTAACTCATTGTTAAATAAATAGTGGCCCATACAAAATACAACCCATCTCACACTCACTACACTACAATTATGGTATAAATACAGCACTACAACATTCAAAAGAGAGAGAATGACTTAGAATGTCAGTTTAATAATGATTTGATCAGCAGTAGTTAGGTTTAGGGTTACGCTAAGTTTTTCTCTTTTAAGGGCTTATTATGCAATCTCTGTCACCCTCTTGTGATGGACAGCATCAACCGTCTTTGCTCTGCTCAAAGACAGGCTAATAGTTGCTGACGCACTCTTTCAGGAATTATAAATATTTAAAATAGGCACTATTCTTATAAATAAACTGCATAGTTGCAATCTAAACAGCTACATTCTTGACTAAAAAGGCCTCAAAAGTACACTGTTGTTCAACAGATGCAATATTTGTCAAACTGTAGTGAGTTTATAGATCTGCTGTCACTCTATGTGGGTGGAGTAATGCACAAGAGTGAAGATGCTGTAGGAATGCTGTAATCATGGGAACGTCACATGGCTATCAGCAAATCAAATTCGAGACCCAGACAGAACTGTTGTATAATAATCAATATACAAGTATGTACTCTGCATGGTCAAGTTGCTAGTCAATATCTAAACTAAATTATTATTAATAGCAAATTAGGAATGTACTTAGTCTTGTTAATAACAGTGTGACCCAATTAACAATAAGAAGGTTATTTTAAAATATGTATTGTTTATTGCTGATATGGCAAAGCAGATTTTTCACCCGATGTTATTTTACATTCATTACCACTGTAGTTTTTTAGTTTAAAATGAACATTTAAAACAATAAAAAGAATAATTCTTTGTGATGATCTGCCTGAGCTGAGGGACAGATTGAACACAGCGTCACTGGCAGAGATCCAGCGGTCGGTTGAATTGTTTCTGGTGTGCCGGTTGAATCCACTGGGCTGGTACATTTAGCTGTAGTCCTCGATGTTAGCTGAACCGATGCCAGTGATCTGTGTCCCAGAGGGCCTTTTCTGACCATCATAAGTCACTGGCTGCTTAGCTGCAGCTGGTGCCCTGAATGCAGTTGTGTGTGTTTGTGTGTGTGTGTGTGCGAGAGAAATAAAGCAGGTCAAAGAAGAATAAATCTTTGTCCATCAAAAATTTGATTACAACTTTATAATGTAAGATACTGTTTGCTCATCTGATCCTTTGAATCACGTGTTGGGCTTAATCTTTCAGAACTTTATGAAATCTAAATGGAATTTCTGTTGCTCTTTAAATCTTAGTGTATGTTAGTTACTTAGTTAGTTATGTTAATTATGAACTAAGATTAACAACAATACTAACGTTTATTAATTATAGATACTTTAACTGATGCATTATTAAATCTTAAGTGGTGTCTTTTAAGATTAGTTAATGTACTGTAAGTTGTACTAATAACTTAATTTTCATTGAATGACTAACAAAAATGAATAAATAATGTAATAAATGTGTTGTTTATTATTTGTTTATCATTCATTCATTTTCTTTTCGGCTTAGCTCCTTTATTAATCAGGGTTCGCCACAGCGGAATGAACGTCAACTCATCCAGCATTTGTTTTGAAGCGCAAAATGTGACAACAAAGACCCTGTACTGTTGCCCACTAGGGTTGGGCGATGTCGACCAATTTGCCATCGTACCATGTCTAATGTGAAACATTGCGATGGACGATGGCATCGTGGTCATATATGGCAGAGGTGAATTAATTATTTATGAATAATTAGCTAATTCATAACGAATTAATTATTTTATTATTTGTAGCCTATCCTTTCAACTACCTGACCCGTATAGCTTTTGTTTTACCCATAAACAAATCATAATTAAATAAAGATAAGTTGCATACAAATTACCACCTGTCAATCACTTTTTCCGCGGGAGGTTGGTTGGTAAAAAGGTGCACAACGAACAGTAACTGAGGTTTTCACAAGTGTGAAAGTGAAAGACTGAAGCAGTGTACTGATGCTGTGACACGTTACCTGATAGATTCAAAAGACAGAAGAGTCATTAGATAGAGACAAGATTAATTAAATTTCACAATTAATTATAGTGAGATGCGACCCTGCGGTACATCCTTGATAAACTGTCCGATGTGCACTGCTTTCTGGAGCTCAGATGAGAGCATGACAGTGTGTGTGGCTGTCTGTGTGTGTGTGTGTGATCACATGATGTGCGTTTTCAGCAGACGGAGGGCTGTTTAGAAATGCTAGGTAAAACACAGTGTGGATGTGAATCATTTTCGGTCTAAAATGTAATTTTAACACTAAGACGTATTAGTGTAAACGGGTCCTAAGTGTGTATTTTTCGCGAGCGGGTTTGCGACGGGGGCGGGGTGGAGGATCGACTATGCCGGCTCAGCATTGTTTTGTTTATTAGCCATCGCCAGTGGACGATGGCATTGTCTATCGGCCCAACCCTATTGCCCACCTTAAGACTTGTTTGAAGGAAGAATTGGACAAAATTACACCTGAAACACTTCATCACCTGGTATCTTACGTCCCTAAACATCTTTTAAGTGTTGTGAAAAGGAACGGCAACATTACAAATTTATAAATGCTTTACTATTTCAACTTTTTTTTTAAAATGGGTCGCAAAAACCAAAATTGGTTTTTGTTTTTATTTTGAAAAACAAAACAAAACAAAACAAAACGAAATGAAACAAAACAAAAAGCAATATTGAGGAACAAATTAATTCATGTTTGTTGGACTGTCTGCAAAGAAATACAAGTTAAAGCCAATCCAGAAATCGCTACTTTCTTTTTCTATTTGCGTTTTCCATATTGTCACAACTTTTTCTAATTTTGTGATGTAATTTAACATGTTATTTAATTGACAGTTATGCCAAATTAAAAATTTAGAGTTGATAGCATTAAAGCATTTCATGGAAATACCTAGAAGTTTCTTTAAATCTCATGAAACAAACTAGAAAACTATGTTTTGACTGTGTTAGTTTATCAAAGGATGTTATGCAGATGCTTCCTATGTATATGCTTAGGGATAGTTCACCAAAAAATAACAGTTCTGTCCTTTTACTCACCCTCCATTTGTTCAAAACCTATTTAAACTTCTGTCTTTTGTTAAACAAATTTTGAAGAATCCTGGCAGTTGGTACACATTGACTTCCATAGTATTTTGTCTTTCTACTATGGAGGTCAATGGATCCCAGTAACCAGCATTCTTCCAAATCTCTTCTTTTGTTTTCAACAGAAGAAAGTAACCTATAAAGGTTTAAAACCATATGAAGGATTTTAAATGAGGTCTTTTTATTTTTGTGTCAACTATACCTTTAATTAATTGCATGTAGATTGTAAAGGTTTCAGACTGTTGATATGTTATGTTATAATATATGTTATAAAACACAGTGATGATGCCAGTGATTTTATTGCTTTTCTGCTCCTCTGCAGGTTCAGAGTCCTGCTAGTGATTCTGAGGTGAGTCCCAGTTCTTCATTTCCTATGTTCGGCTTTTAACATCATGCACACAATGCTCTGGGGTTTGGATTTAATTACTGTTTTGTTTGTGAGAGCGAGCCGGTGTCTGGTCTTGCATCCAGATGATGCGATTCACTGTGACTGATTGTCAGTCAATTTTTAATGTCTCCATGTGAGAGTGACACCGCTTGACTGGATATCTGTGGACACGCAGCGAGGCTTGTCACTTGCTGTTAATTCAGATCTCCATGCACAAGCTTCTGGATGGCAGCACAGTTTAAGAGATATGGAGGATGTTTTAGGACAATCTTTGTTTAGTCTGGAGAAGCTGCAAGTCTAAGAGAGAGAGAGAGGGCAATTTGTGGTGCTAGTGCTCAATTTCGATATAGAAACAAAACAGTAACACTTTAGTTTAAGAACCAAATTTCACTAATAACTAGTGACTTATTACCTGAGATATTAGCTGTTTGTTTGTATTTAAACATTATATATTCTGTATGATCTTTTTCCACATCCCTAATCCTTAATTCTTAAACCTAACAACTACCCTAATATTAATAAGCAGCAAATTAGGAGTTAATTGAGGCAAAAGTCATTGTTAATGGTTTGTTAATAGCAGGAATAGATTTGCATTTTTAATTAAGTTAAATTGTAGAATTTTAACATATGAAGTAAAAGCATAATGACCAGAGTTTAGTTTTGTTAAATAATGCTACATAATCTTCTACAAAACTAAAACAGTGGACAATTAGGCAGAGGGTGAATAAAAATGCTAATTCACTTTATGCCTATAGGTGGCACTTATAGAAATGCGGGGATAACAACGTTTCAGTAGCACAAAAGCAGTGTTAGCCAAACTCGCTCCTGGAGGGCCGGTGTCCTACATATTTTAGTTCCAACCCTAATTGAACACACCTGATCCAGCTAATAAAGCTCTTTCTAGGTATACTAGAAACTTTCAGGCAGGTGTGTTGAAGCAAATTTGAACTAAACTGTGCAGGACAGCAGCCCTCCTGGACAGAGTTTGAGCGTAACTGTGCTAAACAAAGCAGCTGTGCTGGGATTTAATATGCATTATGTGGAGATAATCTAAAATACTACAGTGATCGAGATAGCTGAAACAGGCTGCAAATTCGAAAGACACATGCAAATAGAAAAACACTAACAATCTGAGAAAACATCTTTATCAATTTGACAACACGTGTAAGCAAATTCTCACAAATGCAGAAACACACTGCGAATAAAGCAGACAATAAAAATGTGCCAGGGGGACACCAAAAAAAAAAAAAACCTGGCTGTTTCCTGTTTAGAGTCAGCAATGTTGTCAGATGTGATTTTTTTTATTTATTTATTTTTTATTATTAATTGTGGTCATACGGTTCCATTTTGCAAAATTAAGTTTAATAAAAATTGCATTTTTTTAAATAACTCTAAACAGGAAGCATTTGGCTTTGTTACTTTTTTGGGTCTTCTGACACCAATAGTGGGGCGTGTATTTCACACCCATAATTTCAGCAGCATCCTACATGAATTAAGCCACCTCTTTATCATGCCATCATAATAAAACCGTGGCAATTGAAACCATAAATTTTACATATTGTGGTAAGAGTTTAAAATGCTTTTTTATGGTATGGGGTTTTTGTGCTGTTTAAGTCCAGAGTGCCTCTCGTTAGTGATGTGACGTTTTGCGCAGAGGCTTCGAAGCTTGTATCAAAAAAACAATACATCTCGCAGTGAAGCAGTGTACCGGAGCTTGATTCGTTTTACCATCATCACATGATCAGTGACGTCCGAAGCTTCATTATCGCCTATACCTTTGGGACAGCTTCGAATTTAGATTCAAAGGTTTAAATACCCTCATGGGTTAGTAAAGTGTATAGTAAGAATATAATAGTAATTTATAGTAAAAAGGTTTTGAACCATACTAAAGTGTATGAGCGTATTTTTTACAACTAACTTTAAGGAAAACCACCGCATATCGTAGTATAGTGTTTAACAGAGGCCAGCTGGTGAGTGCAGCCTGAAGCATCACTCACATAGCCTCCTCCTAGAGCTTTTGCCTACCATAGAGGAATCGCTGGTTCAGTCCGAGCTTGGAGCGAGTGGGTAAATGAAGGATTAATTGGAATATGATATATATTAATACTTTTGAATTCCTTGGATTTTACTACAGTAATCTGTAGTGTACTGTAACAAACCTTATGTGTAAAAACTACAGTAATTGAATAATTTGTTTATATTACTGTTGTTGTATTACTACATGAATGAACTGGTCAGTTGTGAACATTTGACATTATTGCACCACAGTGCTTTCCCACACTTTAACCAGAAGAGGTCCTCATCGAGCTCTGATTTAGAAAGCTTCAAGTAACGAACCTTTTTCCGATACAATTGAGTCGAGCGCTTCACTGGTTCAGAAAGCTTCACTACACCATCACTACTTCTCGTTCTAACCATCTGCTGCACCTCATGTTTTTGACGGAGTGCTCTGCAGTTGACAATAATATTTAATATTATTAAATTTGTTGGCAAACTGTCGATCTTTGTTCGTAAAGACCATTCTTGGATGCTGCTCTTGTACCAAATCATAATTAGAATTACCTGTTGACATTGCCTATTTCAAATCACATCATTATTTAACTAATTTACCTGATTACTAGTCCTAACCTGCTCCTGTACCAACTTTTTTTGGAATATGCTGCAGATTTGAATGACAGGAAATGATGTATATTTACAAATGATATGTAGTTGACCAGACAAAAGATAAAATAGGTGGTGTAAGAGGGTAAATTTAGAAATCACTACATTCTTTTTTTGTTTTCTTTACTTTCACTACTTTTTCTGATTTCAAGTTGTATATACAGTAGACCAAAAGTGATGGGGACATGTTAAACTTTTGTTTTTTATTGACTATAAACGTTTAAATAATCATCACAATATGAAAAACGTTATAAAAGAAAAAGGGAAATATTTAATTGGTCAAATTATTTCAATGACCATTTGCTACATACTTTGGGCTATATATTAAGTTATTAAATATATTTGTGTTGAAAAAGGAGTTGGGTAGCCTAAATTGTCCGTTGTGTATAAGTATGAATGAGTGTGTATAGATCTTTCCCAGTGATGGGTTGCGGATGGAAGGGGATCCGCTGCGTGAAAACGTGCTGGATAAGTTGGCAGTTCATTCCGCTGTGGCTACCCCAGATTAATAAAAGGACTAAGCCAAAAAGAAAATGAAGGAATGCTTTACGCTCCAGCACTAAGATTGTTGATCAAGTGGTTGCCTAGCAACATAAAAAGCACAGCACACTGATCTTTTTTGAAGCCAACAACAAGAGGAAATTTTAAGAAAAGCTGGATTTCTCAAGACAAATAATTCAAATAATCCACTGAAAATATTAAATTAGTTGATACACAGGTATATTGATTGAACTTGCTCAGTCATTCATTCACTCACTCACTTACTCACTCACTCACTCACTCACTCACTCACTCACTCACTCACTCACTCACTCACTCACTCACTCACTCACTCATTCACTCACTCACTCACTCACTCACTCACTCACTCACTCACTCACTCACTCACTCACTCACTCACTCACTCACTCACTGCCCTTTGGCATACTCTCTGATTTATCAGGGGTCGCCACAGAGAAATTAAGAGGCAAATACTTTGACATATGTTTTATGTAGCAGATACCCTTTTAACCGCAACCCAGCATTGGGAAACACTCATACACTTTCGCATTTACAAACCTAATCATTGGTAGAAGATGCAAACTCCACACAGAAATGCCTCCTGGCTCAGCCAAGACTTAAACTAGCGAACTTCTTGCAGTGAGGCGACAGTGCTAACTTGATTAGTTCATTTGTTGCCTTAAAATTATTATGTAAATGATTGATCGGTATAATTTTAAATTGAGTCAACTTAACAGTTCCATGTTACAATGGGTTTACTCACTTCTTTAAAGTGAAGTCAACTTGTTGATTTTAAGGCAATGGGTTTACTAAATTTTTTAATTAAAGTATAAATAATCGCGTTTTACATTGTTTACATTACATATAAATGATTACTCTAGGTTTAGATAGGGTTTTATGCAAATAAAATCAAGATATTGTAAGGTATTGTTTTTTGACTTTTTAATCAAAGCTCCACAAAATTGCAGAAGTATGAAACAAATGAAGGTCAATATTTGTTATTTTATTAATGCAGAATACCTTGTAAATTTCTGTGTGTATTCAGCTATGTCCATGTGGCACTTGAACTTTCCATACAGTATGTCTGTTGATACATCTGTTTTCTGTCCTCTACGTTTAAACACTTTGTGCTATAAAATAGTTGCAGTGCATTTTGTATATATAAACAGAACAGTAAAGAGATCAACCGAAAAAAAACAAAAAACAGCTGGGGCTGATTGTATGTTTAGAGCAAAAACTGTCTGTATTTGTGTCCGGTGGATCGATGTATCTCTAGTGTTGGTGATATAATGATCTGGAGAAGAGCCAATGTGAGCAGACGGCGTGGCCGGGGGAATCATGCTGATCTGGAGGACATGCAGCTCTGAGACCTGTGGAGAAGCTCAGGCTGCTTCACGTCTCTATAACCAGAGATTTACACGACTGCATGTACGATTCATCACTTTAATAACCAAACACACCCTGCTTAAAAGCCCACAGTGCTCATGGGAATGTCATCATCCAAGAATTTGTTCGTCAGGTGACGTGCCTGAGAGCTTTTGCTGGAAATGTTGATTCTCAAGAATATGCAAGCTGTTTGAAAATTACACAAATTTGTGAATTTGAGAAGAGATGTATTGATCAGGGCTGTTGTAGGTAGTCATCAGGAAATCAGATGTGAAAATTCTTGTAATTTTTTGAACGCTGATTTGTCATACAATATTTATCTGTGGACATTATTATTTAAACAAAAAATCAAGCAACCTTAATCTTTAAAAATGAATATAATGTAGGGCCAGATGGAATCTGCGGACGTTTTT